GGTTTGCCCCGCCCCCCCCCCCCCCCCATAATACAGAAAGCAGACCTTCCATTGGAGGCTCCAAGAGATAAACTGAATGGTGTACATAGACTCCCAACATTGAACTATGATGTTACCTTCAGGATTTTCATGGCCTCAAGCTGGCTCATAGCCGTGTGCACCAGCGTGTTCACGGTGACCTCTGTACGGCGACGGAAGTGCAACTGGCGGGTGGCATAGCAGACAGAGCGTGCCCGATTGCTGACGATATGGTAGGCGTTCCAGGTATCGGCATCCATGGAGGACGTACATTCGGCTAATGTCTGGCCAATAGGAAAGCTGAATCAGGCAAAGCCACCAATGGAATACACAGAGATATTTACAATGAATCTGTTAATCTTGTAGGCGATCGTGAAATTCTGTTTGAACCCCCTAAACCAAAATGGCAACCAATCTTTTCTATGACGAGACATCAAGTGATTTTATTGGAACTGTGAAAAGACAGCTCCCAAGAGTAGTGAAAGTCAATAACTAAGGAACCTTGGCCACACCCAACACCTAGAATTGACAAGCACATGTGGTCCCAACCCCTCCCACATTGTGAATGTGCGTACAAGCCACAACACCAACCCAAGACTAAGCCCCTGAAACCATTACACCCAGGACGACTGAATGCCGGCCCACATTACTCTCCCACCCACAAACAGAACACTCCCACTTCAAATGGCCCGCTTGTGTATCTACTCCTCCCACTAGGCATACCACCCCAGAGTATCTGCACAAGATCCATTGACCAAAGACCCTGTGCAGTGAGAATTTGTAACACTTCTACAGTTCAAGAGGCACAACTTGCCTATAATATAAAAGGAGAGAAGCGCTTCCTCTTTCCAGGCAGAGGTATTGGAGGATTCTTGCATTAAATTTAGCTTTACACCATAATGGGTTGTGCACCTCCTCTCCCTCTGCGCTCCTTGCCCCAATGCTTCTCTTCCTCTTGCTTGACTATCTGGTCCCTTTCACGGTTCCCCTGCTGTCATGCTATGTTTTTTCCTCCCCTCCAATGTCACTTTCTACCCCTGCTCTTCTTCCCCCACCGCAATTCTCCAATCCCTCCACTCCATCTTATAGGTAGAGGAGGGATTGGGCCCCATAGCACACCCTCTTTCACCATCTGCTCAATTGCCCTACAAGCCAGAGGCCTATCCAGAAGGATGGAAACCAAGGCTTCTATGACGTGTGTGATGGAACGAGACATGTGAATAACTTCTGTTCTATGAAGGGTTTACTGTGCTCTGCACCGATTGGTTGGACTTGGGTATACTTCCATAACTTGGATGGTTCTACTGTTTTTTTGGGGGGTTCCAAGTCCTACTGCACAGAAGCCATGGTTTCCATACACTGCAGTGTTGGCCAAAAGCCAGCATGCAGCTATTATAGGCTATCTGGTGGGGCCGAGTGCCTCCCGATTTGAATGGGTCTACCTGGTCTGGTCATGGGCTAGGAAGGCACAGAGCCCCCCAGTGTCTAGTGCCGCCTGGAGTGGTGCCCTGGGAGTACCCGAGAAGCACACTGGGTTTGGGACTTCTGTGTGAAATGGCACAATGGCCACACCGCCAACTTTTTAATTTTTTTGCACAGCTACTTGGGGGGTAATTTTTAATACTGGTCCACAAGGTCTAGCCATTGTCTAGCACATTGGCACCTATTTATTTTCTTCACTTGTTTTGTGCACCGTCACATTTTATAGGTGTGCTTTTTTTTGTTCAAGGATGGGCGGTGTGGCTCCTTAGGCCTAACCTGAGGTCTAGGGGGAGGATGTACTGAGTGGTCAGCTTACCATGCAGAATGGGTCCACCTGGTCTTGGCAAGGTGAACACAAGTGCCTTGCCCCTGTCGGAAGCCTTGTGCCCTGGGAGGTCATGGAAGGGTCCCACTTTGAGAGATGGACCGTCTGACACCCCCTCATGTACTTTGTACCATACGGTGGTTCTGGATGTCCATCTGGTTGGACTGTAAAGGAACGAGCCATTGAAAGCGACTGACTAATGTAACCTCAAAGTTCTTTTCATGTACCTGGCCAGGACAAGTCCATAGAAGAACCTGAACCTCACATCCCACTGAGGGAGGTCACACTCACCATGTCCTCCGTACAGGGGTAAGTCTTGCGGTCTTCTACCTCCGCCTGACAGTTGAAGAGCGCCACACCGAGCTTCGCGATCTCTTCCTCTGACATCTCCGTGCAGGAAGCTCTCAGCTGACCGACAACCTGCCAATTCACATGAACACATTCTCAGCAACATCTACAGACACAGCAATTCTTATAACCATATAGCACATGGAGACAGCCCCATAGGCAGGGAGAGGGATGATCAATTGTGATGGCCCAGTACCAACCAACTTCTAAAAGAGTCCAAGCTGAACTCCGGCAGATACAAGACACAAATTAAAGCAGCTCTGTAACCACTACATCCTTAATTGTATTATTTAAACACAAGCAGTGTAAGTACCCAGATATGACCCAATATCAGCCTCCTATAGTCCCTATACAGCAGGGCTGGAGTATGAGAGAAAGAAGCAGCACAAGGAGACATCAGTTCACATGCTGACAGGAGTAGAAAGAGTGATGGAGACATGATCTCATCACTGCTTTGCTTCTCCTATCACAGGTTGGGGGCTGGTCTGGGATGACCTGGGCCCAGAGGAAGTGGGCTGACCGATGCTGGCCACCAGACTGAGGACATCTAGTGGCAGAAAAGTCATGCGAGGGGAATCTCAGGATTGAAAATGAATATTTCGGCAAAACCTGTTTTTCTGATTTTAACTTTTAACCTGTTTGCTAGCACAATGCCAGATTGTGATGCCACCCGCCCCCTCCAATCAGAGGACGCCTCGAACCCACTGAAGAAAGATACAAGGCGTTCTCTGAATGGTGGTGAGCCCTACAGAAGCTCATGGGGACGAGGAATCCTTTCCAAACGTCAGTCTGGTCAATGCTATACAAATCTACCAATTATAACAATATGGCTGCCAGTATTAGGGGCCTGGGGGGAGGGGAGGGTCCGGAATGTGGAACCCCACCTTGTAGTGACAGCTGTCCAGCGGGGACATCTCCAGCTGCTTTGCTTCAGCCAGAAACTTGTCATCGGTGGTGATCATCTCGAAGGGAGCGTTGGGCAGGCTGTGCGGGTCCGGAGCCGGCTCCTTCTGTGCGCCGGAGGATCGCCCGGGGGTCTTGCGGGAGAACCAGCCGAAGAATGCCCCGGAGCGTTCAGGGAGGGTGAGGAGGGCGAGAAGAAGCAGGAGATGACCAGGGGGGTGCATGGTTAGACCTACAGGAAAGGAGCAGAGGAGGTCAGACCATTCCACGTTCCTATTGTGAGGATAGAACCACCATAACCGGCACCGGGCTACCAAACTACAACTGTCCATCCAAATGTTCTCTGCACCAGACAGGCATAGGGCCATTGCTCTAGAGCAGGGTTGATTTTGGTGGGAGGGGCCAGCGGGCTCCAGTAAACTTCAAAGCCACCCTGACCCATGTGTTATATGAAAAAACACCCATTAATAATTTAATGTAAAAAAAAAAACATTTTGGAACCCAATGACATCATCATCGGGTCCTCCTGTTGGCCATCGCTGAGTAGCTGGGTTGATTTTTGGTGGGAGGGGCCTGCAGGCTTCTGTAAACATCAAAGCACCCAGACCCATGTGTTATATGAAAGAGCACACCCCCGGGATCCCTTTGGCTGTGCATCCCTGCTGGCCGCCGGGTGCTGCAGACTTTAACTGTGCAATCTGCTGATCATTCTAATAGAGTGCAATCAAGCAAATGATCAGCTCGCACAGCTAAGTCTCCACCATAGCCAGCAGGGGTGCACAGCCAGGTCTCCACCATAGCCAGCCGGGGTGCACAGCCAGGTCTCCCCCATAGCCAGCAGGGGTTCACAGCCAGGTCGCCACCATAGCCAGCAGGGGCGCACAGCCAGGTCTCCACCATAGCCAGCCGGGGTGCACAGCCAGGTCTCCCCCATAGCCAGCAGGGGTTCACAGCCAGGTCGCCACCATAGCCAGCAGGGGCGCACAGCCAGGTCTCCACCATAGCCAGCCGGGGTGCACAGCCAGGTCTCCCCCATAGCCAGCAGGGGTTCACAGCCAGGTCGCCACCATAGCCAGCAGGGGCGCACAGCCAGGTCTCCACCATAGCCAGCCGGGGTGCACAGCCAGGTCTCCCCCATAGCCAGCAGGGGTTCACAGCCAGGTCGCCACCATAGCCAGCAGGGGCGCACAGCCAGGTCTCCACCATAGCCAGCCGGGGTGCACAGCCAGGTCTCCCCCATAGCCAGCAGGGGTTCACAGCCAGGTCGCCACCATAGCCAGCAGGGGCGCACAGCCAGGTCTCCACCATAGCCAGCCGGGGTGCACAGCCAGGTCTCCCCCATAGCCAGCAGGGGTTCACAGCCAGGTCGCCACCATAGCCAGCAGGGGCGCACAGCCAGGTCTCCACCATAGCCAGCCGGGGTGCACAGCCAGGTCTCCCCCATAGCCAGCAGGGGTTCACAGCCAGGTCGCCACCATAGCCAGCAGGGGCGCACAGCCAGGTCTCCACCATAGCCAGCCGGGGTGCACAGCCAGGTCTCCCCCATAGCCAGCAGGGGTTCACAGCCAGGTCGCCACCATAGCCAGCAGGGGCGCACAGCCAGGTCTCCACCATAGCCAGCCGGGGTGCACAGCCAGGTCTCCCCCATAGCCAGCAGGGGTTCACAGCCAGGTCGCCACCATAGCCAGCAGGGGCGCACAGCCAGGTCTCCACCATAGCCAGCAGGGGTGCACAGCCAGGTCTCCACTATAGCCAGCAGGGGTGCACAGCTAAAGGGATCCTGGGGATGAGTTCTTTCATGTAAACCTCAAGGCACCCCGACTCACGTTATATAAAAGAACACATCCCCAGGATCCATTTAGCTGTGCATGCCTCCTGGTTATGGTGTGCTGCCGACTGTAGCTGTCCAATCTGCTGATCGGTTGCTTGATTGCACTCTATTAGAATGATCACCAGATTGCACAGCTCATGTCTGCAGCACCCATAAGCCAACAGGGATACACAGCTAAAGGGATCCTGGGGATGCGTTTCATGTAGACTTCAAGGCACCCCGACACGTTATATAAAAGAACGCATCCCCAGGATCCCTTTAGCTGTGCATCCCTCCTGGTTAGGGTGTGCGGCCGACTGTAGCTGTCCAATCTGCTGATCGGTTGCTTGATTGCACTCTATTAGAATGATCACCAGATTGCACAGCTCATGTCTGCAGCACCCATAAGCCAACAGGGATACACAGCTAAAGGGATCCTGGGGATGCGTTTCATGTAGACTTCAAGGCACCCCGACACGTTATATAAAAGAACGCATCCCCAGGATCCCTTTAGCTGTGCATCCCTCCTGGTTAGGGTGTGCGGCCGACTGTAGCTGTCCAATCTGCTGATCGGTTGCTTGATTACACTCTATTAGAATGAAAAAGATCAGCAGATTGCACAGCTAAAGTCTCCCACACCCATAGGCTAGCAGGGTTGCACTTCTAAAGGGATCTTGGGGATATGTTCTCATAGAGGTCAGGGTGCTTTGAGGTTTACAGGAGCCTGCAGGCCCCTCCCACCAACCATGCAATGAATCAGCAGGCAGCATAAAGACCCAGTGATGATGTCACTGGGTCCCAAAAGTTATTTTTTTTAATGAAAATATTATATATATAACGAGTTGGGGATTTTTCAGGCACCTGCTGGCCCCTCCCACCAAAAATCAACCTCGCTACGGAGCAATGGCCAGCAGAAAGCCCCAGTGATGATGTCACTGGGTCCCATAAGAGGTCTAAAAGGCCAATAGACAGCGGCCAATTGCAGGACTGACTTTATAAACAATAGATCGTGTTTTGCAAAAGAGGAAACATAACAATATGTTGCGCCCCCAAAAAAGGAAGCGGTGGGGATGGCGCTCAGCCATGGCTCCTCCCCCAGCTCCAAAGGCAACCAGTGACAAATTAACAGAGACCGTGCCAATTCAGAACACACATTGCCTCATGTACTGTGACCTTAGCATGAGGTCACCTGACACCCAGCCATTAGACCTCCCACACTGTCTCCCAGCTCCCAAGTACATCTCACAACAGGAACCTTTAAGGGTCTACATTCATTTTTAAGCAGCAGCAGCAGCTTTCCTAGCAAATGTGCAGGAGGTGGCCCGTGTGATCAGGCAGCAATTCAGATTTTTGGGTGACCCCCCTCAAGGTATCATAGGCAGATACAAGTAATCAAAGCATGATGGGGCCAGTAGCACATTACATGGGCCAACACCAAGCATCTTATCATGGCATCACCCCAGTCCTGATCCTCATCTCCATACATCGCCTCTATGTTCAGCAAGAAAACCCCACTACTACCTTACCACTGCAGGAGTCTCACTTCTCCTGCTGCACTCTCTATGCTAACTTTAAAAAAAAATAGAAATGCAAAAATCCAGCAGGGAGTCCCAAATTGACGGGAAAAAAAAATCTACAAGTTACAAGATCAATTGTAGGTGGACCGGGACTGCTGCATAAAGGTGATATACCGCCAACAGCAGCAATGCCGCAGTACTGTGTGATAGACTCGGCTTTTCCTCCGCCTATGCCGCACGTCCCGCCCTCTCCGCTACCATATAAGGTCGTAGCGGTGACGTCATCCCCACTGGAACCAGGAGGCGCTGTCACTGTGACCCCGCCCCAAGCCTTCTGCTCCACATGGTTCTGGCCCCGCCCCCCCAGCCGGCTTTTCTAAAACGTGTATCTCTAAGCGCCGCCCCTGTCTTTTGCTCCACGTGGTTCTGGCCCCGCCTCCTCCAGCACGTGACTATCGGCCTTTACTCTCTGCTTCCGAGTTCCCGGTGGAGATGGCGGAGGCGACGGGAGAGGAGATCGCTGTGGGCTGTATCGGGGCCGGGAAGATGGCGAGGGGAGTTCTGGGAGGCCTACTGATCACCGGTACATGGCCGCACTCCGGGCTGGCGGGGTGCACTCCCCGGACGCGAACACTAGATGGCAGTGCAGCTTAGTAGACACGGGCCCGATTTACCAAAGAGTACCTGTCTCCACTTCAACCTCCCTGTCATTTCTAGGAGACCAGGTGATCCTTGTCTAGTGGAGATGAGCCCTCAGGAAGACCCTGATGCTGGGTTCTCTACCTGTGAGTCGGGACCCCTTCGGGGGTTGAAGGACAATTTGCCAGGGGTCGCCGGGAGTCTCCCGCTATTGGATAGCTATTAGATTATCATCATTTATTATTAATAATAAAAGCTGACACCCTCGGCTTGTGTTATATGGTTTGCCATTTTAGCTGTTACAGTAGTGGTTCTCAACCTGCGGGGTCGCTGTGATTTCTGCTGTGCTAGGTGAGAGTTCTCCTCAGCCCTCTCCTAGCGCAGCAGTGTCAGTTCTCCCGCCACGCCGCCAGATGTCGCTGCAGCAGCCGCGTCAACCCTAAATTTTGCCGTTGGGGGTCACCACAACTTGGCAAGTGTTACCAAGGGGTCCCGGCCCTAGAAAGGTTGAGAACCACTGGTCTAGTGGATAAGAGCCCTCAGGATGTCCCTCATTCTGGGTCTAGTAAATAGGAGCCTTCAAGATACCCCTCACAAAGGGTCAGGTGGAAAGGATCCTTTGGGATGACCCTCAGGGTCTGGTGGGGAAACCATAGGATGACTCTTAACATTGGGTTTGATGGGGAGTAGTCTTCAGGCTGACCTTCATGTTGGGTCTGGTGGGGAGGAGCCCCCGGGATGACCCTGATGCTGGGTCTAGTGGATAAGAGCCCTCAGGATGTCCCTCATTCTGGGTCTAGTAAATAGGAGCCTTCAAGATACCCCTCACAAAGGGTCAGGTGGGGAGGATCCTTTGGGATGACCCTCAGGGCCTGGTGGGGAAACCATAGGATGACTCTTTACATTGGGTTTGATGGGGAGTAGTCTTCAGGCTGACCTTCATGTTGGGTCTGGTGGGGAGGAGCTCTCGGGATGACCCTCATGCTTGGTCTAGTAGGGAGGAGTGCTCAGGATGACCCTAATGCTGAGTCTGATAGGAAGGAGCCCTCAAGATGACCCCCACCGCTGGCTCTAGTAGAAAGTAGTCTTCCGGATGATCCTCACACAGGGTCTGGTGGGGAGGAGACCTCCAGATGACCCTAACGCTAGGTCTGGAGGAGTCCTCAGGACAACCCTTATGCAGGGTCTGGTGGGGAGTAGTCCTTAGGCTGACCCTCGTGGTGGGTAGGAGCCCTCGTTACGACCTCTCACTCCCCCCCATGTGTTATACTTACCAGATCTACACTGAGCATTCTGTCCTAAAGCACTTGGTGCCTGAACATGGCTGGCTGGGTATGCTGAGAGTTGTAGTCCCCCCCACCCTTTACCTAAAAAAAAAATCTGGAATCAATCTGCCCCCAACTGCCAACCATTGTTCACGTCCCCGCCATAACTCGCCCTCTCTGCTTCCTTTCTAGGTAAGGTTCCAGCAAAGAACCTCACAGTGAGCGCCCCGACCGACACCAACCTGCAGTATTTCCGGGTGAGTTGGAAAGTATGAAGTATGTTCCGGGCAGGAAATTTTTCTCCGATACACTTCTGTTCTCCCTGGTTCACGTTACACAGAGTTCTCCTGCGGGTCAGGTAAACGTTCATCCTCAACGGACAGGAGATGATGAAGGCCGAAGCCTAGAGGTACCATGTATACCCTGTATACCACCCTGGGGGAGTGCTGAAACCCGGGGTGCTCTGATAGGAGCACCTCCAACTGCCCCTGTGGAGGAAATCTTGGTCCCGCCCCTTTCTACCTCTCATGCCATATGATTGGTTAGGGGGGCAGACAAGCATATTGATGGGCCAATAGTGAACTGTAGAAGGGGACTGTCACAATCTGAGTCCTATAATCCAGACCCTTCCCTCCAGAGTACTTTTTTTTTTACACCACCAGATGTCCTCAGTCCCCCAGCTTGAATGACAGCTGGACTCATTCAGCCCACTTCGTATGAGCCCAGGCTGTCATGGACCCGCCTCCTGGGGGAGGGTCACTCAGCACCCCTGGGCTCACAGTGGAACACCAGCATTTAGGACCCATCTGCTCAAGAGGACCTTTTAACAGATTAAAATCCTCCCCTGACCGCGCCTTAGCTGTGCGCCCGTCTCCTCTCCAGTGGTAAACGTGTCTCCATTGGCTTCCCAGAGACCCTGGGGTCACAAATACACATTGGGGTCGGGAATGGGGGGGGGTTGTATGTGCTGTATGCGTCTAGTACATGTAGCTGGAGACCCCGCTATCCATATCAACTTACCTGACTCTCCTTCATTCTCAGGATCGCGGCTGCAGCGCCACCCATTCCAACGCCGCCGTGGTGTCCAAGTGTCGCGTGATCTTCCTGGCCACCAAACCGCACATTATTCCCGCCGTCCTGCAGGAGGTCTCGTCTGCGTTCACGCCAGACCATGTGATCATTTCCATGGCTGCCGGGGTGTCGCTCCAAACCCTGGAGAAGGTGAGATGTGCCACAGGCATGACTCCCAGAGGCAGAAGCATGATGGGATTTGTAGTTAAAGTACAACTGCCACCCCCGCTTCAGGGGAAAACGATATTGAGGAAACTATGGAGGATGCTGACCTCGAAAATGCTACTTGCCTGGCTGTCCTGATGACCGCTCTGGCTTTGATCCCTAACCCGGAACAGGTGCATAGATGATGACTGCTGACCCTGCTGTCCATATCTCTTATTGATCCCGGGTCAGCATATCTGCAAACAAGCCTACGATCGTTATTAAAGCCAAACTCCAGACAAACTCCATGCATACGCCTAAAATACATACAAGGGTGCTGTTTTACCTGCCATAGCATTTGTCCATCCAGTCTTGGGATTTACCCAGCTCTGCCACAGCACACGATCCACTTGAGCTGCGGTGGCGACCTGATCTTTCTCTACCGCAGTTCAGTAACACGTACAGCCTGTGACGGGACAGTGAAAGGAAAAGCAGCAGCTCATCCCTGACTCTGCTCTCTCCTACATGTCCCTTGCACCGCAGCGCGGTTGATTGGCTCCATGTGCTGCCCCTCCCACTCCCAGCCTGAGTTTTGCTGTAAAGGGGCTGCGAGAGGTCGCGTTCTGATCCGTACGCTGCTTGCATTGCACAATTGCATGTTTAAAGTAATATTAAACTCTCCCACTTTTTTGTCGATAACGAATCCAGATCCGATCAATACACATCGCCCAGCAAAGGATTTCTTTCTATTTCTGCCCCAAACACTTAGTCATCGTGTTTCCGAACAGCTCCAACTCTCTCAGCTCAGCGTCCCTGAACTTCCTGTCAAGTACAAAATCACAAGGGGCCGAGCAGTCTCCAGCAACTGTTCATCTACTAGACTGGAGGAGGGAGGCGAGGGGAGTGTCTTACCTTGCTGTGTTGGCGGAGACGCACACAGCTTACTAACACACACAAGGGCGGCTCCATAGGATCCTGCACGGGAGAGGAGTCGCTGTAAACCAGTCTATTGGGGCCAGTGCTCAGGGGACCAGCCCATTTGGGGAGGAGGGGGGGTTAGCCCCACTGCAAGAGTTAAAAAATATGCCTGGAGTTTTTTTTTTTTAAATGTAAACACCATATACATACCTTTCTTGCCGGTTTGGTGATGTCACCGCAGCTTCCTCTTCTCCTTCCCCGGGGCAGTCGATTCTTCCAGGACTGAGCGGCGCTCATAATGTCGTGCGAGTGTCTCCCCGTGAGAGGGCTCAGCCTGCATGGTGACCACCCCCCAGGGAGGGCATGTAAGTGACCGGCTGGGTCTCACAGGAAACGGGCAGAATTGATGCCAGTATTGTTCTGCCCGTAGAGAACCGCTGCTGCCGGTCCGTTGTGGAAGTCCGGGAATGTGGAGAGGGGAAGTGAAGATTGGCAATATTTTGGGGAATAATAAAGTTTAGGGGATGAAAAAAAATCATGGAATTCCACTTCAAACCAACGTCAAAGTCTCTGTTGTGATATTTGAGGATGAATGACTTCACAGTAGTTGTAGCTAGAGAGGTTAGTGATGGCTTATCGGAAAGCTGTATTGCTGCTTGTTAATGTCTGTAACCGCCTCCCAGCCGGCCGTTGTAAAAAGCCGGCCGGGAGCTTTAGTCTCTGTTGTGATATTTGAGGATGAATGACTTCACAGTAGTTGTAGCTAGAGAGGTTAGTGATGGCTTATCGGAAAGCTGTATTGCTGCTTGTTAATGTCTGTAACCGCCTCCCAGCCGGCCGTTGTAAAAAGCCGGCCGGGAGCTTCCTGTCAGAATGCGGAAGTGGTGTATATTACATCACTTCCGCATTCTCGTGTCACTCTCCAGCTTCAGACGCTGGAGAGAAGCTGATGAAGCAGACCTGTGCTTCATCAGCTTCTTCAGGGGGGTCCTAGGTGACATTAGGGGTCTTGGAGACCCCTGATGTCTCCATAAAGAGGACCTGCAAAACAAATGACAAACGCACTCAACAATTTGTCACCAGTTATACAGTGAGGTGCACACGAAATGGGCTTAAAACAGTAGACAGTAGAAAGGCATCATGGCACACTCACCAGCCAGCATGTAAAACAACTTGTCTCACCACTAAGGACAATGACAGAGGTTTTAGATACACGTCTTCTGCAGAAAATGTGAAAGCCGCACTGCCGCGCCAAGGCACCTCTTATAGTGCGGTCCTAACTCTAAACTATGAGAGTCTCCATCTTGGAGCACATGGGGGCAGAACATAAAATTGGGTGCAGGTTTGTCAGGAGGACGCCCCGCCTCCTTAAAGGCACAGAGACGCACAAGGGATCCCTCACATCCCAATGGCAGCTGAGAACCCCCATGCGTCGCTGCACCAAATCGGTCAAGCAAAACAAATGACAAACGCACTCAACAATTTGTCACCAGTTGTACAGTGAGGTGCACACGAAATGGGCTTAAAACAGTAGACAGTAGAAAGGCATCATGGCACACTCACAAGTCAGCATGTAAAAAAATTTGTCTCAGCTGCCATTGGGATGTGCGGGATCCCTTGTGTGTTCCTGTGCCTTTAAGGAGGTGGGGCGTCCTCCTGACAAGCCTGCACCCAATTTGATATCTTCTGCCCCA